TTTCATAATCCTTACCCTTTCCTCTTGACGTAACTTGTCAATGAAAAGCTTGTTCCATAGGTCTATCATCAAAGTTTCTCATTCGAAGTTCACGGGACTGAAGTGTTCCCGATAAGTGAAGGTGACGACTCTTACTCGGTTAGCATTTATCGGGTAGATTTTTACATACAATATCGTTTTGATGGACTAAAATCTTGTTAAGTAAGGTAACTGATGATGTTGAATTTTATCGGTAAGCGCTTACCGAATAAGTGTTTACATAAACGGCGCGAAACTCTCATCCAGGCCCATCACTTGGCCCGTTACATCTGCTATTTAGAACAGGCCCAGCTCAAACTTCATACCCGACTCTTCGTCTCTTAYACCCGACGTTTCAATCTTCCCGGCATTTTGCCGGTTCTTCTCCCCTTCCTTCCGACTTAATGACCTTCTCCATGAACCCGAATCCCAATGGCTCCACACACCAACGAGTATATTTTGGTTCTTTGTCCATGTACTTTCTCTTCCATTTTGGTTCTTCGCCCAGACGCCCTTTCCTTCTGAGTTCTGACCTTCGATCTTTCAACCGACAACCAATATCACCTTGTTCTTTTGACTCTATTTCACTTCTGCTGTTCGGTGGACGACTGGACGGGCCTGTACTTCACACATCAACGACGGTATTTTTCTTTCCAGATTATTATTTGACTATTTGAGACATCATAATTCGTAAAACTCTGTCGTTCGTGGTGGAATTGGCAGGCCAAAATATATGAATTCATCCCAAGTTAATAGACTTCTAAAAGCTGTTAAAGCAAATTTAGAGGTTAATTGATGATGGATTGTTGATTTAAATCAGAAAATAAGCCATTAAAGCTTGGGTTGTTTTCCATTTGACTTATTGAGACCTGTTCTTGAGCAATACATACACACAGATTTGTCGGTAGTCGTCCATGTAGCAGATTTGCAATGATGAAATATTTCTAACAGGTCCATGAGGGAAATTTGTGATGTTGATGAAGCCCAGTAATGAAGTTGTTTGAAAGCCTTATAGGTTACCAATTTCGTTACTTGCTTTGATTTGGGTTACCCATTTTTTTGTTTTGATTTGGGTTATCCTTTTTTTTAGGTTTTGGTTTGGATTACCGATTTTGTTCCTGGTTTTGATTTGGGCTACCTATTTTGTTTTTGTTTTTGCTTTAAGTTACCGATTTTGTTTCTGGTTTTGATCTGGGCTACCGACTGTTTACTTCCCTTTTCTACTCTTATCAGAAAGTTATTATTTCATGAGATCCTTTTCGATTTTATGATCCAAATTGTTTTGGAAGTTGAATCAAGATTCAAGCAGGCTAAGAACACACATGGGTATCACTTGCATTGCTATATGTCAATGCAATTTTGTTTTCAGTTGGTAACTAATTTCAACAATTTGTTTATTCTTCTTGATCTCTACATCATTTCGCGTACAGTTAACACTTCTTACTTCACTACCCATTCTGCCATTCATGCCCACAATCTGTTTGTTAATTCCTCTTCTTTGAAATTGATTATGTAAAGTAGTTTTCCATCTGTTTTTTTAACTTTTAAGTCGATGGGTTTAAAGAAGATTTGTTTGCCTATAGCTTGATTTAGTTGACAAGCAAAAAGGTCATATGGGTTTTTTTATAAAGTTTGCATCAGTAGCAATCTTGGGATTGTGTTTTGTGTTTTTTTGGTATATGTTTTCTCCTTCAGCTTCTTCTCTCACATCTCAAAGAAGCACTTTTGGTGAAATGGCAGAACCCATTTCAGAAAAGGGGTAATTAAGAAAGAGCAGACCTTCTGTTGTTCTAATCAAGAATAAACCCCAATCTGAATTTGGGAAAGATGAAGGAGAAGAAAGGGGTTAATGGGTCACTAGGATTAGATGTTGTTGATGGACCCAAAGACAATAAGAAAGACGGAAATGTGTGAAGATAGTTATAGTGAATGAGAAAGAGGAGTACGTGGTAACAGGTGTTCTCCAAAAAGATTAGGACGGCCCTGCTCTCAACCTATTTCCATCAAATTCACAATGTAAAGTTTACAAACGTACCATTTTAACTTTATCTTCTCCTCAGCAATCTTGTAAAGTGTTTCCCATGCCCTATTTGATGTTGAAGATGAAGAAGTTCTTCCAAAAATACTTCATCCACAGCCTGAATTATAAAGAACAACTCTTTTCTGTCCTTATTTTCATTCAATTTGTTGTTTTGTTGGGCTGTTAAAGCTGTAGGATTTTTAAGTTCTTGTAATCCATCCTCAACCAATTTTCATAGATCCGGTGATTTGTAAAACATCTTCATTTGAATACTCCATTTAGTGATAGTTACTTCCATTTAATTTTGGAAGAGAGGTCTGGAAAACATTGTTGTTGTACGAAGCCATAATCTTCTGCATTTTGTTTTTTTTGCATGTTTCTTCAATCTGAACTGAGAGAAGGGTTTGATACCACTTCGTTAGAACAAACATAAACAACGAAGAGAATTATGATAAACACTTTTTTATTATCTGCACAACA